CCCCATCCCAAGCAAGTACGATACACAGTTGAGCGCTGAAGTTTTGTAATGTCTATTGTTCTGTCTAAAATAGATTTGTTTGACCATGGCAAGGTGCGAGTGTAGATATTCAAGATTACAAATGATCATGTCTAGTAACTTGATATGCAGGGGTTCGTAGATAGCGGGGGGGGCATGGCGAATTCCTCGTCCTGCCTTATTGTGACCTGTGTGTTGGAATGGCGTTGATAGCAATATTCCTCTCGCCTACTTGTATGCAGGAGGAAAAAATGTTGAGGGACTCTACGGCAAATTTTTCTAGGGTTGAGGACTCCGCATACCCAGCTCTGTCTCCTTACGCACGCCTGCCTCGCAAAACGCTGCATTGGCGCACTGTCGACAAATAACAAATTGAGGCACCCACTGGGGCGAGCAGGTTGTTATTTCGGGTAGTCCTATTACACCTTAGACCATTTAACTTTAACGAAAATGTTCGTCTGCTGGGGTACCAACCCCTGTTCTGATTACAATAAGATTACAGATCATGCGAGTGGTAAGTTCTATCAGGGCAATGGTATTGTAAGGAAAGCGAAAGTTCGCTTCTTAGGAGGTCTTCTTTTGAGGGCGCTGGTATATCAACTATAGAAATCATTTTAGCCGAAAGCTGGTTTAAATGCGTCATACGATGTGGGTATGAGTTCCTTATTATGTCAGTCTGAAGCTGGGGCAAGATAGAGACATTCCACGATGGATAGACGATAGACACTTCAATAAATTCCAAAACTTGCTTGATTTGGCTGCATTGTTGATACAATCTTTTGTTTATTTTTAATTTCATTGTGTTATTCTCGTTTATTTTTAATACAGTCTCTTGGTTGGTATGAAGATAGTGGACCACAAATCATCTGTATCAAATATATCTGTGCGCCTGACGATACCAAATGTACGTATATTAGCCATTCCACGGCGCATCACGTGCACACCTTACGTACACCACCAAGCACGCTCACTGCACCACGCACAACACAGCACACACACATGCACATCACCACACCACACACACAACACGATCACAACATCACACAGAAACCAACACAGATTATTAATATATATAACCGATACCTATAGCGAATAATATAGTACAGAAGATCAGGAGCTGCGCGTGAGGAGAATGAGGAGGACGTGTCTCTGAGGGAAATTAATAGTATTCTAGGGGGGGGCGCACAAGTATATCTGTAGTTGGATAATAGTAATAGGTATTAAGTACTTATATAATATATACTATATGATATATTACTATACGTATGCGTGGGTTTATTAGTGGGGGCGGGGGGCGGTACTAGGTCGGGGGGGGGGGATAGGGGAAGGGGGATGAGGGGGGGGGGGGGGGAAGCGGGGGTGAATTGGTGTGCACTCGCATTCACCTGACAAGTGGCGTATGGGGGCGGCGCCAGACGATAGGTCTTGTGCATACATGTGCCGCAGCATGATAATTATGTGTGTGAAATTACACTATGCGGTTCGCCTGGTTGGAAAATATAACCGATGCCCAGCAGCGTGGATTATGAGTCGTTTGTGGAGCTACCACTAGTACCGATCCAAGACTTTGCAGTTTTGCAGCGAGATTTTTCATTGGCGTTGGCCCAAGATTGTGGGCTTATTGCACTTCGGCAATAAACGACGGCTAGGAAAGCTCGATCCTGTTCATTACGTGTATATATGTATGAGCTCCTATATAGTGCCGTTTTCCGGACCTAAGGGCGCTGAAAAAATACGTCCGCCCATATCGTGGAAAAGAAAATATAAATAATTCAAAGAGTACACATTCATTACTCATGTAAGATAAAAAAGGTGACATTGATAATAATGAATTCACAGTCGACGCTCTTATCAATAATATACATTATAAGTATAAGCGAGTCTCATTAAGAAAGGATATGCGCGTCGACGCTGGCCACACACACGCGCGCGACATGAACAGGCATACAGAGATAGACAGTCAGACAGTCAGACTAACGAATAATACTGAGCTGACTGGACTGACTGACTGACTGGAGATGACTTGAACTGATCTGACTGACTGACTGACTTGACTGACTGACTGACTGACTGAACGAACTGACGACTGACTGACTAATCGACTAGCTAATTGGACTGACTGACTGATGACTGACTGATGACTGATTCACTGACTGACTGACTGAAGCTGAATGACTGACTACTGACTGATACTGAATGACTGACTGGAACTGACTGACTGTATCTGATGTTCCTTGATGTGACGGACTGAACTTGACTGACTACACACACCTAGTCAGGCACCCGCTCGCCAACACGTAGCTAATATGCTTAAATATACATTTGGAGATGAAACTACAAAATGTTCTATACATAATTCAAATATGCAGTGAATGTGACGTATAGGCATGCTTGCGGGATATTAACATTATTATTGATCCATATTTATATTACAAACCGTGTATTCACACAATGCATCGCCGGGGATATATAACGTAGTAACGAAATCAATAAAATATTCACATTAAAACTTGGATTTTCCTTAAAAATGAGCAAGTTATTTAATGATAAATACATTGTAGGTCAATCGTTTAGGCCAAAGTTTCGACAGTAACTGTTGCACGTCGCTTGATAAACACTAGACGTGTGTTGTCTTGGTTTGCGGGAAGTATATAATGAATAGATTCAATCATAAAAAAATTTACTTTGTTACATAAAACGTTTTCGTATATGCGCATTGGTAAAGTGTTCAAACACGAACTTCCGTTATAGACGTCACGCGGATTCCGCGACAACCCAGTGACCTTTATTATATCACGAATAAGTCGATTTCCGGCGCATTGAGGTATCTTATAGTAAAATATTGCCTTCCAGAGTTACAAAGTATTCGGGCGTTAACTTGGTATCGTACCTGTTCTGTAAACAAAAGAAATCCGTTGAGATGTAATATACATTAATGCAAATCACAACAAGTGTGACTTAGCGGCGC